ATATTGTAACTATTTTAAAAATTATTAATAAAGATATAAGCAAGGCCTCACCTTAACACCAAAAAAAAAAAAAAAAAAAAAAAAAAATACAAAAAATTATTTGAAATAATCTTTGATAGTGTTTTTACGTTCTGGTAAATTCAATTTAACATTTGGTTTTTTGAACCTGTAAAAGTTTGATCTGTTCTTATGTTGATTTAAGGTCCCCGAATCGTTGATGTCTTTGATATCGATGATACGGCTACGACCCCGTCTCGCCTTAAATTGTTGTAGCAAACGTCTTAAACAAAAAATTTGGACTGACTATGTATACTTCTCTCTTTCTCTCTCCCTTTTCGTGTTGGTGTTTATAAAAGAATTTCAAACGCCTCGATGTTTATGATAAGCAATTGCTAACGCAATTGCTTCTAAACGCAATCTCATTTTCGAAATTCTTTTTACATATTAATAAAAAAAATAAATAAATAAAAAATATTTATTTCTTATTAAAATAGTCTGTAATACAAATATTATTTTCTAATTTGGAGATTTGTGCAACTGCTTCTTTCAATGAACCATGTTTGGCTAATCTATCAGCTTGTTCGTTTCCATAATTTCCTAAATGACCTCTAACATGAACTAATTTAACTGTTCCAATTCTATAGTCAATAAGTTTTTTTAACCTTTTAATTAAATCTTGGTTTTTAATAGATTTATTATTATAACTCATATATCTATTTTTTTCCTATTTTTCAACCTAATCTTCAATTATATTAATTATATATTTACTATCTGTCATTATTTCCAAAGGTTTTGTTTTATTTTCACAAACTTCAAGAGCTCTAATCACAGCATAGATTTCTGCACGATTGTTAGTTTGTATTTCACCTAGTAATCTTTCAGACAAATTTCGATCATCATTATCAGCAAAAAATACACCTACCAACAATTGAATTTAATTTTTCTAAATACTGTTTTTTATCATTTATTTCTTTACAATTAAAACAATAACTGGTTTTATTGAATCTAAATGAGCAAAAAATCATTGATTTGGAAAAAA